CATGCTGCTCTCCCAGCTCGAATTCCCGAGCGGCCCAGGCGGCCTTCTCTTTCCTCAACTCCTCAGCCAGTCGGGCCGCCGTCCTGGAGGCCTCAATCTCCTTCTCGGCAGCCTTTTTTGCCTCGGCCTCCGCAAGCACGAGCCGGTTCTCCAGGTCGGAGGCCTGCTTTGCCTTCGTCTTCAAGGAGGCAATCTTCCCCTGGCAAAGTTCGTGGTCGGCCTCCAACTTGCGGTGGTCGGCCAGGGCCCTTTGAGACCGGTCGGCAGCCTGGACGAGCTCGACCAGTGCGCGAGAGATGGTCCCCGCCGCGTGTTGTATGAGCGACGGGGTGGAGAGCTGGGTGGCGGCGGCCTGAGCTGCCGGGGTCCAAGAGACTAGCGGGAGTTGAGCCGCCCGAATCATCTCCTCCGGAACCCCGAACTGGTTGGGGATGGACACCCCCTCGGCGGAACGGAGGTCCAGATACCAATCGTCCAGAAAGCCGGGCAGGGACTTAGCAAAACGAGCCCTCCGCTCGGCGTCGATGGGGACAAAGGTGCTCGCCCCGGCCTGGTGGATATGCGCGGCCTTCTCCTGGGCGAGGCCCGAGCTCTCAGCCTCGGCACCTTTCCAGGGGCCTGGGGGACGGTCGGGACGGCATCCGGTGCCACGGGGGCGGTCACGTCGGCGCCCTTGGGGGTCGGCTCCTTGTTGAGCGCCGCCCTCTTTTTGGCTAGGTTCAGACGGCCAGACATAGCAGCTTTGGTTCTCGCCTTGAGCGGGTTCGGGTGTTTTCTGCGGTGTGTGTTGGCAGCCTTCACAGACTCAAATCCCTTGAGCCTAAGAAGAGGGTAGTAAACTGCAAAAGAGTAAAGGGCGCAGTTAATATCGGACAGATACTAGAGACTAAAATAACTGACAAAGTGCCGCACTGGGTTAAGAAGCTACCTGGTTTGAAGGACTTATTGGCAATCTCCGGGCTGAGGTTGTGATTGAGGAGAATCTCTTCTTTGACGAGGGTTGAGTAGCGGCGTTCCTCTTCGTTTCGCTCCAACAGAGTACTGAGTCGCTCGGCCAAGCGGGGACTGAGTGCCGAACTGTGAGTATGGACTGAAAACGCAAAGTATGACCTGTTAGCACAAAGGAAAGAAAATCAGTCGGTGATGGATGTGAAGACAAAAACTTACGAGTATGGGAAATAAAATGAGTAGGCGGGTGCCGAGTAGCGTCCGGAGTCATCCACTCGCCGCCGACCCAAAACCAATTCGGCAGGTAGCCGTGCAGGGTCTCGGGCAGTTTGGCCACCAGCGTTTTGTCGATACCGGGGAGCACCGAGCTGTAATAATTGCCGGTGTCGCCAGAACGTTTGAAGGCGAACAGAGACTTCACCTCGTCGCCGGTGGGGTCGGCCCAACCCTCGCGGCGATACATGACAATTAAGCTTACGAGGCGGGCAAATACTGTCGGCACATATTGGCTGATGCCGACCTCGAGCTCGCTCAAGATGTCGTTAAGCGCGCCGGGCAAAGGGAATTGGAGGCCCAGATGGATGCTGTGTCGGTAAACCCCTATACAGCCCGGCGGCGGACAGTGGATCCGTTCTCCGGGATACTGCGCGAACAGATGGACGCCGGGGCCGAAGTTGTATTTTCCCCTCAGCTGGGCCAGGTCGGCGTCGTCCAAGACCGACGCCGTATTCCAGGCCGTCACCTGGCTCGGTGTGGTCCACACCCGCTCGGGTCGGCGCCCCCGTCACCGCCTCGAGGGCGGCATCGGTGGCAGCGCTTTCCATTGGAACACGCTCCCGGCCTTCGACGTTGCCACGGAGGGCCTCGTCCACCAAATCCGGATCGACATCAGAGTCGGTGTCCAGAAAACCGAGGTCGACGGAATCATCGTCAGCCGCGACCGAAGGGTTCATTTCGGCACCATCACGCAGTGGCGACGGGAAGTCCTGAGAGCCGTTGTCTCCGCCGCCGGAGGCCGTCTCGATCGTCGATAGGTCCGGACGGACAACGGAGATAGGAACGGCGGTGAGAATAACATCCGCCGACACGGCGGGGACATCGTCACCCGTAGATTTCGAAGGGGAAGACACCGCGACAGAAAAAATGAGAAGAAAAGGCAAAAAAGAAACCGGGCAAAATTACCGGAAAGTAGCCGAAGATCGTCGCCGGAAAGTTCTTCGGATAAGCTCGAAGTTCGCCTCGAAAATCGCAAAGCTCGAATATGTTTGAGAGTTCGAATTTCTTGAAGATAGGAAAAGTGAAAAAATTCCTGAAAAGGGATATATATAAGATCGCCCAACCAATCAGACGCGGACACGTGTACCGATCTTTTGAAATTCGAAATTTAAAGCAAAGGGAGGCGAAACGTCCGAAAGAAGCCAACAGTCACATCGTTTCAAAAACACTTGGTCAGGGCGCTGCCACGTGTCCCCCCCTGTGTGAACGCAGTTAACACACGTCTTCGGTTACCGACCGTTACGTCCCACGTCTTCGGTTACCAACCGTTACACCCCACGCCTTTGGTTATCAACCGCCACGCCTCAAAGTGTGGTGAAGATGCCGACCTCCAAAAGGATCGGACACGAACTCGATGGACCCAGCTCGGATCCAACCGATCGAAGACGATCTCAGGAGAGGCCCGATGGACCTCACCTGAGCTCGGGGCCTGTATGTTAATATCCGAGTCCGGCCCCAGCAGAGGTACCGGTCCGACAGATTGAGAACCGAACAGTGGCTGGCCGAGCCGAAGGAGCCGGTACCCAAAACCGATTGAGGGTGCCGAGCTGAATAAACATCAAAGCCATCGGAAACGACGGGAGGAACCGGTCCCGAGATCGGCACCACACCCATGTAGCTACGAGGTCGGCACTCTATTTGAAATCTCACGAGGGCGGCCCCTGGTAGGAATACGGTGTCAAATACAATAAAATAATGCCACTTGTCGACGAATGATTGCCGATGGGACATCCAACTCAGCCAAAACGTGTCCGCATTTAATGCAGCCCACGTTCGCATTAAATGCATAGCAGGTAATGATTGAAAAATCCAGAAATCGCTCCCAATCAGTCAGGGAAGCGCCGGCTTGTCCCGCCGAGCTACTGTACGACAAGATTGGTGAACAGTACCCGAACAGTGACGCATTAAAGACCCCTATAAATAGCAACCCCCTCATTTATTTTTGGGTTGTTGAATCCCAACTGCTTGTACTCCATATTTTCTCTCTCTAAGACTTGTAAGAAACTCATATAAGAAGCTGCAAGTATATCGCAAGTGCCGACCTCGTGATCCTTTAATAAAATCGTGATTGAACCGCATTTCTTTGTCTTTTTCTTACTTTCTTTCCATTACCCGACTTTTTAACCGTTGACCGGAAACGTCCGTCAACACAGAGTAGTCTTGCAATATTATTAAGAGAGTGTAAAATAATTATATGGGATGAAGCACCAATGGCTAAAAGATCAGCAATCGAATCATTAGACAAATTACTTAAAGACATTTTAGACTCAAATGAAATATTTGGAGAGAAGTCATAGTGTTTGAAGGCGATTTTAGACGGGTGTTACCAGTTGTTCGTAGAGGAAGCAGAACTGAAACAATTGATGCTTGTTTAGTTAATTCACCACTATAGCCACATTTACAAAAAATAGAACTAACAGAAAACATGCGTGCTAAATTAGATCCTGTGTGTTCAAACTATCTATTGAAGGTTGGTAATGGAGTCGAACCAACAGATTCAAATAATCTGATTCGAATACCTGCATTTATTAACACATTGTCTATGAATGATGTTGATGATATTGATAAGCTAATTATTGTTGTTTACCCAGATTTATGCCAATTAAATAATGAGGCACTTTCAGTTAATCGTGCTATATTAAGTACAAGAAATAATTTTGTTGATGAAGTGAATAATATACTCATAGATAGTTTTCCAGGTGAAGCAATGGAATACTTCAGTTTTGATGAGACTCGAAATCCTACACATAGAGGTCAGTATGAAGATATTATTAATTAATTAACACCAAGTGGTATGCCACCTCATAAGTTAGTCTTGAAAAAGAATTGTCCGATAGTATTGCTTCATAATTTAGATCCAACTGAAGGGTTATGTAATGGTACAAGGTTAAGGTGTAAAAAACTAACAAAAAACATTATACATGCAGAGATAATTGTAGGTGACTTTGCTGGCAAAGAAGTTTTTATACGTAGAATACCATTAGAGCCACCAAGTGATCAGCAATATCCAGTGTCTTATGTTAGAACGCAATTTCCTGTACGATTGTCATTTGCAATGACGATCAACAAAGCACAGGTGCAAACTTTAGATTCAGTCGGTATTTATTTGAAAGAGCTAGTTTTCTCCCATGGTCAATTATATGTTGCTCTATCACGAGCGAGATTTTCATCTAATGTTACAGTTCTTATTAAACCACCTTATTTTGACACGAAAAAGGTTCGGCACACGAAAAATATTGTTTACCAAGAAATTTTAGATGCAGCAAGACAATAGCTTCTATATATCTTTTCCTATTGTTAAACTTAACTATCTGTTATGTGTATGCATTACTTTACACTTTTTTGCATATATATAATATTTTTTGGATAATTTATAACTATTCATTATTTATTTTGTTGTTTTGTCTCACTTTTTTTTTCTTTCCCTTTTCTTTTTCCTGTGTTTTTTCCTTTCATTTTCCATGCACTACTGTGTCAACACAGGATGTCTCGAAAGTATCTTCAAATTAAGGATGTTGATGTTGACACTGAAGGATGGACAGTGATTATCCAAGTTGTTGAAAAAAGTCACGTTCAGATTGGTTGTTATGGAAAGAGAGTGCCTTACCGAAAATATGTTTTCACGGATTCGCAGGTTTGGTTGTTATATTATTGTGGCCTTTTTTACAAAAAAATTGTTACTGACTTGTTCTCAAATGCATACATATTTCTATAAATATTATATAATAATTGTGTTTACATTCCCATGTACTAAAAAAAGTTTATAATTCATCTAGGGAATAATTGTATCTACAACTGTCTATGGATCTGCTCAAATTCAGTTCTGGGATGAACGCATCATACAGTATAAAAGATACTATGTTTGTGGGGCAAGTGTGCAGCAAGCAAATCCTCTAATATCAAATCAGTGACTGTGGTTTCACTTGGACAATACAAAAAGGCACATTGGTTAAAGAATATCCTGAAAAATTACCTCCACAGCTCCCGTGCAAAATACACCTGCAGGAGTACAGCAAACTTAGCATGTTTGCAGAGACAGAAACTTTACAAAGTAAGCCTTAACTTTTTTTTAACAAACAAGAAATAGAAAACAAAAAAAAGAATATCAAAAATGATTTCTATTTTCTCCGTAGATTACTACACACTAAACAATAATCAATGACAAAAATTATTTACGATAACATTTCATCTTTTTATTGCTTTCCACAGATGTCATGGGTGTTGTTGTTCATGTATTGCCGCAAAAAGATGCTTCTTCAACTTCAAACACAAAAAATCTTGTGATCCTCAATGCAGAGTATAATTAATGCATCTTATACACTTTATATGGTGAAATATAAAATATAAAAGTGAATTTAATTTATTTCTGTCCAATTCCTTTCAACATAAACAGGCCTGTGATTTTTACATTGTGGTGTGAATTTGCAAAAGAAGAAGGTCAACAATTGGCAAGCACATTGCCTACTGGTAACATTATTGTTGCAACGAGGGTGAGGGTAACAACTTTCAACTGTAAGTGTTTAGTCACTCTACCCATGCTATTTCAAATCTAATCATCACTGTCTATAAATATACACATTCTTTAAATGTTTTCCATTGCCAGTGCTATCATTGACAACAACTCACTTGAGCATAATAATGATAAACCCTCCCATGACAAAAAATGTATTCTCAATTAATGGTAACAAATGAGTCTATTATATTTCTTACATATTTTTATCGTTTAATTTCTGTTACAGTCAGTTACATTTAAATATATAGGTACATTGACCACAAAGAAGAAGTGAACCATCAGCTGGAACTCAAAGTCTATGAAAACCCTGAGTTTCTCTTACCACCACCAAACGAATCACAAATTATCTCTGTCCTCTCAGCTTTAAAAAATATGCAGACTGTAAGAATTTAAATCTTCTGTACAACTAATTGCTTTTGTAAGAAATACCCTATTGTACATTCAAAAAACAATAATCATATCCAATATATTTAGCTGAAAACGGCATGAATTCGAGGAAAGGCTGTTCTTGCATATGGACAAACATCTTACTGGTTCACAGCTTGCCACAATTACAAAAAAGGTTTGCGCGCTCAAATCAGATGGATAGTGACATGTCCTCACTGCAAGGCAGAAGGACCAGTAGAACCTAGGTATGAAAATAATAGATTTCACAAAATACTGACTACATTTTGTTTATAAATATTGTTTACAATGTCATAAAAACACTGGTTGCAGTTCTAGATTTACGTTGGGCATTGAAGACAACACTGGCCTCATACAAGCTGTTATCAGTGGTCTAGAAGCTGAACAACTGCTTCCAATGACCGCAACTCTAATGAGCTTCAACACAACCAGGTAACAAAAAGTTTGTAAATATATTTTTTTTCCATTAATTTTTTCAAAGTTTGCCTATTATGATTAGTGTGGTACAAAAAATAAAGAAAAATATTAACTATATATCAGAGTTTATATCAAATTAATACTAATGATTTTTTTGTGTCAAGTGTGCTTGTTAATTTTTCTTTGCAGCTGGAAAATGCCATGGAGGTAGAAGCAAATTTTCAAAGTGAGACACTACATTTCTGAGTATCAAGACAAAAATGAATCAAGTTTTGCTGTTGTGGTTGTCTATGTGAACAAGGATAATATTAAAGATATACTGCCTGTGGATGAAACAAACACATCTGTTCACTCACAGAGGCTTGTCAAACAGGTTTAAAAAACACTTCACCATATAGTGATTAACATTT